TTTATCGACTGAAAATGGCTCCAACACCATCTTCGAAGTCGAATACAACAACACCTTCATCAAAATCAAACAATAACCACCAATCAAAAACCCCTCATTCAAAGCACCGCCTGAATTTCACCAAAGAAACTGCCACTACGGCCGCCATGCCTCCGACAGAGCATCCAGTGGAAGTTATTGGCAGAATAAGAAACCATCCGGACCAAAAAAACAAGCCTACTATGATCCCATCTGTTCTGAAAATCAACGTAGATGGAAAATCACTGAGAGCAAAAACTGAAATTGGGTACAGGGATTTTACTCTCGATGGGGTTTCGTTTTCTGAAGAAGATGATCTTGATGGGTTCTACAAGAAGTTTGTGGAGTCGAGGATTAATGGTGTGAAACTAGGGAACAAATGTACCATTATGATGTATGGCCCGACGGGCTCGGGAAAGAGTCATACCATGTTCGGTTGTCCTAATCAACCGGGGATTGTGTACAAATCTTTGAGGGGTATTTTAGGAGAAGAGAATGAAGAAGATAGAGAGAAAATAGGTGGTGGAACTTTTGTTCAGGTTAGCGTTTTGGAGATATATAATGAGGAAATATATGATCTGCTGTCATCAGCTGATACCGGTGGAGGTTTTGGTTTTGGATGGGCTAAAGGAGGCAGTGCTTCCAAGGTTAGACTTTTGTTTCTTCATTTTTGTACTTATAGCTTTTGGAGTTTCTGTCATTTTGTGAATTGAATTGGATTCTTAAATTTGATTAAAAATTCTTTGCTTTATCAATCATATCTGGAGATGGACATGGCCTTAACTTTTTGGTGCAGTACTTGATAGAAGACAGATTTTACTCTTTCATTCCATAGGGATGGATACTTCTCATATGACTGTTTTCAAAGTTATAACTTTAGGTTTAGTTTATGAAATCAGTTTTGACCTGTTTGGTTAGATGTATGAATTGTGTCCAGTTGTATGAGCCTGTGTTATAAAAGAAAGTCCCGCTATGCTTTCCATTGGACTTACTTCACAATGTGGACTTGAAATAATCATTCCTCCAATTATGAATCACAATTCTATATTGGCAGGTGAGACTAGAAGTAATGGGAAAGAAAGCGAAAAATGCAACTTTTATTTCAGGAAATGAGGCTGGAAAGATTTTGAAAGAGATCCAAAAGGTGGAGAAGAGAAGGATAGTTAAAAGTACGCTCTGTAATGAGAGAAGTTCACGAAGCCACTGCTTGGTATGAAACTCTATTTGAATAAAGGGTTATTAAGTAGTTTGTTGAGTTTCTATCTTTACAAACAAGTAAATTCCTGCAGATTATTCTTGATGTTCCAACTGTTGGAGGCCGGCTTATGCTTGTCGACATGGCAGGTTCTGAAAACATAGAACAAGCTGGTCAAAATGGATTTGAAGCAAAAATGCAGGTAGAGGATTGGATTTTTGTCAAGTTCTGTTTTTATCGGCATGATTTCAGATATTTTATTTCTGAAACAAATTAAATATGATGAAAAATATTGTTATGATAAGTGAGTTATGCATGCAGACGGCAAAAATTAACCAAGGAAACATAGCTCTGAAGAGAGTTGTTGAATCTATTGCGAATGGCGATTCTCACGTGCCATTCAGAGATAGCAAACTAACCATGCTTCTCCAGGTATTTCTTTTTGTTCAGGTTGCTTTCAACTTTCGTACCAGTTATATATTTTTTAATGGTTTCTAAAACCAATTTGACATTTTGACTCTAGGATTCTTTCGAAGATGACAAGTCCAAAATTCTGATGATACTGTGTGCCAGCCCGGATCCAAAGGAGCTGCATAAAACCATTGCCACATTAGAGTATGGTGCAAAAGCAAAATGTATAGTTCGGGCGCAGCATACACCGATTAAGGAGAAAGGTGGTGAAGATTCTTCATCAGCTGTTATCTTGGGATCGAGGATTGAAGCTATGGACCAGTTTATCTACAAGTTACAGATGGAAAACAAACTCAAGGAAAAAGAGCGTATTGAGGCTCAGAAGAAGTTAAACAAGAAAGAAGAAGAAATTTCTTCTCTAAGGGCCAAACTAACGCTCGTAGAAGGAAGAGGAAAGGAGGAGATATCCGAGGAGGAGATTAATTCGAAAGTAAATGAACAGAATCTGATGCTGAAAAGGGAACTGGAGAGAAAGATACATGAGTGTCAGAAAATGGCCGATGAATTTGTTGAGATGGAAAGGAGGAAAATGGAAGAAAGGATGTTGCAACAGCAACGGGAAGTTGAAATGCTCAGACATCGTTTAGAGGAAATTGAGTCTGAGCTTCATCTTTTAAGGGCTGGAGGTGCATCAGCAGACATGGATGGAAGCAGCTTTATGAAAAGGCTGTTGGAGGTTTGTGCTGAGGATTCAGATATGGTTAAATCCATGGATCTAGACAGATCAATCGACATGGAAACCAGTGTGGTTCATAAATCAGATGTCCGTGGAAATGCTATCATTTCATGCTATCCCAATACGAGCAATTTCAATGAAAACATAACAAATTTTCCCAACAAAGCATTCTTGAGCACCGTGTATGAGGAAGATGAAGAAAACGAGGAACAAGGTAAAGAGGATCCCATAGACGAGGAGGTTCAGAAAGAAGTAATTGAGGAAAAGAAGATGATAGTTACACCAGAATGTTCGATTCAATATCCGGAGCAAATTGATGACTCTTCTAGGCAAAAAAGGATTCAAAATATCTTCACCCTCTGTGGAAACTATAGAGAACTTTCTCAACACAACAGAACTCCTATGCCTACCCAAAAGAGGCTAGAAACTATTGATTCCTTGTCGACCCTATCAAGGGCAGAGGGAGAACATTCTGCTAAACTAATGCCTGGTGACCTTTCCCAGCTTCAGAATAGTATTTCTAAAATTCTTTCAGCATCAAACGAGCACGGGAACAAGCAGAACTTGGATGAAAACAAGCTTGGAAAAGTTACAGGTTTTGCTGAGATAGCAAAGGTTTTGAAGGAGAATCACAATCCAGTAGATGAAAGCACTGGTGGTGATATTGTTGAAGTATATGTGAAATGGGAGGCGTCAAAGGAAAATCCTGGGAAGTTCATTGCGACATTAAAGTTTTTGAAAGATTCGACTCTTGCTGACTTACGGAAGCTGATAGAAATCCATTTTGGTGGGGAGCAGCAAGAATTTGCTTTTCTTCTTCTTGGGGTACGTCTCTATTAACTCCATCTTTTCTTAAGCTTAGTGAATTCACTTGTAGTGAACTGCAGGGGAGTGCCTTGAGCATACATTTTATGACATTGCCCTTGTAGGATTTGTTGATATAATCGTCATTGTGTTTATATCATAGTTACTTGATTAGTACTTTGTGTGCGCATGACAACAAGTGAATTTGTGTTCACATAGGATCCCTCTGGTGCTCCGATACCCAGAGAAAAGGAGGCAACAACTCGAACAAGCGATCTCCCCATTTGCAACAATGGCCATCTCGCTTGTCTGCGTCCATTAAAGCCAATTCAGCGTACAATTCATCTCCCATTTAGTCCTCTCGAAAACAAGCTCGCAGCTACACCAAACTCGCCCCATGTCACACAGCAAGGAGATTGCTATTCACCCAAAATAGCCCAACACTTGAGTTCAACACCTTTTATTACTGTCAGAAGATATTAGGTGATCGGTTTTTTTCTGATCAGGGTAGAACACTGGATTTTTTAAACAATTGTGCAGCCAGGTATCTTTCGCTATTATGTGTACTCCTGGTGCATGTTATCTTATGATTGTCCAAATCCAGTGAGTCAGATTATGTGTCACTAGAGTGCAAATATGTCGGTATTTCTCTTTTGCAGATACTTGTATTTTTCAACAGTTTAAGGTGATTGTGTTTTCTGTATGATCTAAAATGCCCAGAATTATTCATCATTAGATGATCTTTTTCATGATCAAGCATTAAAAAACTAACAAAGAAAATGCCTTTAACGTTGTTAATATTAACCACTCATTTACAAAACAGCCAACCTAGTTAATAGACTTAGAGAATCTACATATTGACACTCTCTGTGAGAACAGAAATTTGCTTACTGTTACTTATAATACTGCGATGGTTACAACCCAAAAGTAAACAGGTCCCAGTTCGACTTTCAGACACATGACAGCCCTTTTCATGAGATGGAAGCGGTGTCATTGTAACCTCAATGAAAATTGTAGATTTTGAATTTCATATACATTCTCTACTTTTCACGTCATGATAGAGATAATTAGCACAAGAATGAACAATGCTTTTAACAACAACATAATACAGATGAAAAAAGTACAAGAATTAGTAATCCCAGATGAAAATAACATAAAAACTTTAAAAATTTTGGTTCCAGAATTCCCTAAAATATAGAAGTTTGAAAGGGGGAAAAAGACTGGCAAAATGAAAGAAAAATTGATGTGACACGACGACAAAATTTGAACAAATATAAGGGATGAATTTGTGAATAGAGATCCATTCCATCATGAAGCTTTCATGTTGTCCAATCCAACACTGGCCTGCACCCAAAAGTGTACATAAATGAAATATACACTCCTGCAGTTTAAACTTCATAGTTGTGATTTGCAAAATGTCTATAATGCAATGCAGTTTTGCGTATTCTGTGGCTCCCTCAATACTGAATCAGAAGAGACTACATTAATAAAACATCATACCAGGAACTTGTGAATTTGCTCAAGGATTGGTGAGAAATTTGTGCAAAATTTTTCCATATCGCCATAGGAGTCACCTTCAGCCCCGATCACCTCCATGAACTTCTTTCTATCGGGTGCAAGCTTTATGGCGACCTTCATTGCACAATGGAAATGTCAACATAAGTTAGAGAAACAAAAAAAGCTTTGTAGGTCTAAAATGCATGTATAATAAATCTTTCTTACTAAAAGTAATGGCCTAAACCTCTAAAATAAACTGATTTTGATAGAATCAAGAATGCATAAAATCTACATATTACCGAGAAACTGGAACTTGCAAGCCAGCCGTGCCATTTTTTCAAGGTCTTGCTGTATGCATCATTACAAGCATGTGACATTGACTGATCTTGATATTGGGATAGATTACGGAACAGCTCAACTAAGAAATCCATTGCTCTGCAATATATTTAAAACTATTATCATCTTAACAAGCTTAAACTAAATGGTCTGAACTTTGAAGAGCACCATTTCAGAAGATGCATGGCAGTGAATTTTTTTAAAACAGATATATCATCACAAAATTTTAGGATCGTCAATAGTCGTCAGTAATGGGAAAGTGATTTTTTTCTTTTTTTTCAGTCCGTTTAACAGAATATGCATATAATGCAACTTCTTATGCAAGTCAATAGTGCTTGTAATATGTTGAATAGTGTTCAGAATTCAATATTTTTCTTGCCTAAAACTAGAGAGTCGAATAAAAGTGATAAGAGAAAACATGTTACAGTAAGTAGTACCTTGTCAGCCAAAGAAGTCCATTGGTACAGCTTGATGATGATTTGGAAGTTTTTGTTTCGACTTCAGCTTGTACCAAGCTGTACAAGTAATTGAATCTGGATGGATTGGAAGAGTACTTAGATTCCAGCCTCTGCCAGTTAATAAACCATAAAAAATTGTCTCAGTATCGCAAAAGTCAGTGTGCTAAGCTTGTGACTAAAATGTCTGCGAGTGTTATGTGGTATATCATTCAGAAAAATAAAAAAATAGGAGGAACAAATTCCTTTCTATTTTATGTGCATACATATTGAATCAAAGAAAAAGAAACTCTTACCGATATATTACCACCAATATCAGATTTCACCACAGTCATAGCGGCCCCAAATTTATCTAGCATAAAGTCAAATTTGTATTATGGAATGGCAGTTTGAAGGAGAAATTCTATAGAGATTAAGAACGAGTAAAGAAAGAATATCATAGGAGAAACCATTAAATTTAAGTGTTTCTATACCCCCAAAACATTTAAACTATTCAGCCTATTCTAATGAAATAAAAAATAAAAAATAAAATAAAAACCTACCTTGGTTTATCTATCTGAAAGGAATAGTTCACCAAATTCCAAAGGCGAAATATTCGACAAGGGAAAATTCTTTTACTTTTTCCAAATTAAACTGAGGCAAGAAAACCCCGATATGATCTATAATTTCATGCTACCCATTAGCCCCTGCACTCAGAGAGACAGTAAATAGCTAACTTCTTTTTTCTTTCTTTCTTTTTTTTTTTTTTTGGCTTTCCAATAGCTTGATATCTATAGTTTCTGACTCTCATGTATTCTGATTCTGTCGTATGATCTTCATATTTGGTACGAAGCAAAGTCACCCAATCTTTATTTCGACTTCTACACAAAAATATATATTTTATGATTTTATCCTACAAAGAGGGACAGAGCCAGGAACACACAAATATTAAAATGTAATAAAAAAAAATTCAAAGCATTGCAATTGTACCTTATCTGCTTATCAGTTTTCACATATTGAAAATACTCTACAGTAGCCTCATTATCAGCATCATCATAAATATTTTTCTCAAATACAATCAATCAAACAGTCGTGCTTCCGAAATATGTGACTTGGTCTTTGCTTCAAAGTAACTAGGTAGAGGGCACCACCATTGACAAGGTAATTATTAATATAGAGATTAGAACCTCTTCAATATGAACATTAGTGCAAGTATATTTCAAGCATATTAAAAGTTGTACTAATCAAACCTGACGAGATGTACCAAAATTACTAAGTATAATTAGAAATTTTGAAATCTTTTAGCTGGTTTTAATTAATTCAAGTCTTAAAAACTCCTGCAATATGCTTACTAGTTACTACTGTTCAGATTTCAGAGGCTCTATTCTCTATCTTAGTAATATAGCTAAACTATTGTGAAAGACATTTGTATAATCTATCCATAAATCACAGCCCAATTGCCCAAAGCAAATGCCAGTTCAGTTTTTGCTAATCTCCCAACTCCAGTGGGCCCAACTGCTCCTGCTTGTCCCCTCCTCTCCTCCCCTACCTTCAAATGATATATCAAAGATGCAGTTGCATTTGATAAACAACGACGCAATCTTAGGCTACTCCACTTATTGTCAATTGGTTTTGGGTTGAATATGAAGTTCTTTATCAACCAACCAGAAAGNACTGACATTCACAAATAAACTTATCACATGGAATGGACTTTATTATGCATTAGGAACTCTTACAATATATATTGGTTGTTAGTAGTCCTAGCCATAATCCAACTCCACCTCCCCACCACGCCGATCAGTCATTTCGAGAAGCGAAAAGAACCTTCAAATCATTAATGGTGGTACAAGACCACCATATGATACATCTTGGCTTCTTTCTTAAATTTTCACCAAAAAAGGGAATTTAAGGCACACAGTTATGGCTGATAAATGGAAAAGTAGAGTTATAGAATAATGCTTGCAAATTACGACATTAGTTCTTAAGAACTGGTGAAATTTTAGAATGATTACTACTCTGTACTAATAAATTACCAATTAAATTACTGCAAAGACAAACCTAGAATGGGCAATATATGTTTGCAGACATCCAGGAAACGCTTGGTCAGCATATCCCCTTCTTCAGACTTGACATGCTTAATTCCTTCGAGACATGGAGTAAACACAGTTTCCCCCATTTTCGCAGTATTCTGCACCAAAAACCAATAGGGAATACATAACCAAACATAAGTTAATCAATCATGGTATCAGATCATATTTCGCTACTGTAAGTGAAAATTCTGCACGCATCACAGCTTTGATATTAAAAAAAAAAAAGGTAAATCCAATGTGGAAGTGAACTTTTGAACGTAATGTAACCTTGATAAAATAACAGGAATATTGCTCTGAAACAGTAATTTTTATGAAATACCCAATGTGGGGGGGAAAGTGCTCGATCAGCAGAGAAAAAAATTTGGAAAATATAAATTGGAATTGATTCATTTTCATAAGATAAATAATTCAATTATTAATTTTTAAATCTACAATATTTTCATCGATGAGAACCGTATATAGAGATATACATGCCAAAAATACATTACATTAATCACCTACAAAAAATATTATATGCCAATTCCATGAAATAAAATGATCAAAATTTTTACATATGCACTGCATTGAAGAACCTGAATGTGCAGAGAGAATTAGATCGGATTCAAATGAATTTATTTATTTTTTTACATGTATATATAAATACTAATTATAGATAAATTATTGATAATTAAAATCATAACATTAAACGTGAATAAAACTGAATTAGTCGTTGCCACGTTTAACTGAATTTCAAAATACCCGCTGCTTCTGCGGTATAACGAGCTTCAATCTGCCGGCATTTTCCATCAAGATCCCTCATTTCATTCTTATTTACTTACATTTATTCCTGATTTATGTCATGCGAAAAGGTCGCCAGAAGTTTAGCGAAACTTCAAGCTTTAGCTTGGCCGGTTTCTTATTTTTAATATTATTTAAATTTGCAATCATTCTAAAATCATTTAATAATTAAAATAAATCATATCAAACATTTAAAATCGCTATATTTATTTAATAGTTTCAATAAATAGTCAATTATATAATTTTCAAATTTTTAAAATGTAAAAATTAGACTATTTTTCATATTTTCAATTTTCAACGAGACAAATCATACCTAATAAATTTATAGGAACTCTATATATGCTTTCGGAGTTATCAACAAAATAATGAGTTCCAAATTCATAATTACATAATCTAGATAACACAGTAGTTTAAATCTTATTTAACTCTTTATTGGATAAAGTCATTTTTGACTTTTGTACATATAAAGTTCTTTAACAACTAGAAATTAAAGTTAAATAAAAAAAAAATTTAAATAAAAGGATTAATAATTTAAAGTCCAATTCTTACTTTTAAAAAAATTTAATAAAAAGCGCCTAGAGAAGATGAAAGAGTGAAAGGAAAAAAAAAATCCAATTGTTTAGGAATTGGAAAAGAAAAAGAAAAAAAAAAAGCTCCTAAACGTGAAGCGTGGAGTGCTGGAGTTCTGTCGGAAAAAAAAGCACCTCAACGCAATAGAAATAGCCTGGGAGCACTCAAAAAGGAAATTTTCTACCGTTAACTATTCAAACTTGGGTCCCACCTTTCTCACAGGTGGTCAAAAAATGCTGCATCTTTTCATGCTAACGGTACAAAAATGAATTATTTTGGGGTGAAAAATCTATCCCAGACATGCTGCTACATAGCAAACTTGAGTATTTGTGATGCATAAATTCTATACAACAATAAAACCAAAGACTTGATGCTGAGTTGGCTTCACATCTAGCCATATAAGATGGTTTCCTAAGGTCCCCACATCTAGATAAGCCATTGTCACACCTCCTATAGAGGAGAGAAGGCTATGTACAAATCTGTGAGTTGAGCCTATAAACCTAGTTGTAAGTCAGGGCCAAGGATATCATAAGAGTCAAGCCGAAAAGCATCAATGAGAATCAGAGCCTAAGAGATCAGTTGAACCAAACTTCGATGCCTAGAAAATTTTATCATCTTAAATCCCAAGCTTCGGCTAGCAGGAGTGAGCCTAAAGCTATAGGCATAGGCAGTGACATAACCTGAGGTACGACTGTACGAGTAGTCACTACCAAGTTTGTAGAAGAATGGTATGAATTAACCACAATATCTAATGGTAGATATCACATATCCAATTTGTTTATAACTCTCTCCCTTAAACCTCTTTCTAGTTACCGTCCCTTCACGGACAAAATGGAGATCTTCAAAGTCCACGAGTATATTTGATAGGTTGGGGATGAGCTAGGGTTCACTACATAAAACGAATGGCATGATGTCTCCGACATGGTGTAAAAGAGAAAAAATGATTCTCTTGAACAGAGATACGAAGTCAGAGGATGTCCCTTAGAGGAAATGTGGAGTGAGAGTAGGGATGTTAATTGGGTGCGGTCATGAAATAAAATACAATTCCAACTCTATCAAGGATTTTCAAGAGGCGTGATTTGGTGAAGATTAAAATATTTTCATTTCATGTATCGTTAGGGGTGGACGTAGACATTTTGAGTTAGGGAGCACAATCAAACCGTGTACAAATTGAATATTTTGTTCTTAATTTTTTAATAATTCATACTTAACTTGAGAAAATGCATATTTACATTTAAAAAAATTTCTTCATTAATATTTTACTTATCATTTTCATCCATTTGATTTTGAACAGTTATTTTATTAATGTTTTGCTCATCATACGAAAATGCATATTTATGTTTTAAAATTTTATAGTTCACTTGATACAAACAATCAATTCAAATAATCGAAAGAAATTCAATACTAATAATGAATCAAATAAACACAATTAGTTAAATATAAGTCAAATTAGATATAATCAATTCAGATACATTTTATATACACAATTTGATATGAAAAAAATGCAAATTTAGGTTCTAATTAGTTGAAAATTTGATCGGAAAATGAATATTTGTAGTATATGTGATAAATTGTAGACCAATTTTTAAAAACTAGAAGGATTAAGATTTTGGTTTAAAAAAAAAGTGAGGAAACAGTAAGGAAGAGCAAGAGAAAAGAGAAAAAATTCAAATTTATTGTGATTTTGCACTTGTTTGGTAGAGATTAAAATCAATTTTTTAGTAAATTTTGATAAAAGTTAAAAAGTTATGGATTTCATAAAATAAGTTATTAAAATTAATTGTTAACTTTGATTTAAATTAACATTTAGATTTCAATTGATACGAAACAGGACTTTTATTATGACCCAGGACCCCTGGGCTATCCTTAGTTATTTATACATTTTTAATGTTATTATTTTTTTTTTTAAATATGATGTC